TGATAATCATTGTACTTCTCTGCCGTTGCTGTCCCTGCCTCCCATTTAATTTTCCTGGCGCTTCCGCTCCATTATCATCATTTTCAAAGCATGGCTCTGCAACAACCTATAGCTCTGCGCTATGGTCCTCGTTGTCTTTCGTTTGTCCTCCTCCATCTCTCTCTGCCTATTTGCTTTCAAGTGCGTATGTGTGTATGAAGTGAAAGCCCCATTGCGAGATTTATAGCCATGTCCCTCTCTTCGCTCTACGTGACCGAAAAGGAGACTCAACAACTGCCTATCTGTCCAAAGCTACCTCAGTAGCCACCTTTTCTCAAAATGTTTTTTTTTCACATTTTTATTTTGTCTGGTTGTCGTACCAAAGTAGAAGGTTGTGCTTAGGCCGTTAGAATCACAGTTGCGGATTACATATGAGGCGTATGTCGAAATAGTGCTTCATATGGCTATTATGAACGGGTGTAGGAATGTATAGTATAGAACTTGGCGTGTGAGTATTATAAGGTCGCAGCTCTTTCGTTGTGAAGGTGCTTACTCCAGACGGCTGTCAGTTGGTACCTAAATCTCATCTGTAGTTCTAGGAAGTCGGGCTCGGCCTAATGGTCACACCACTGTAATTGCCTCGACTCAGCCACAAACGCAGTTGTGTAAGGATGGTTTATCGGTTTGTTCGTACACACTGCAGTTAACCGGAAGACATAGTTGCGGAGAAAATGACTACCTGTGCAACTTCGTCAATCGGTGCATGCGCAAACGGAATGGGCAAAAAATCGCACCGATCGCAAATTTTGACGAACGATTCCATACGACAGAAACCTTACGGATGCCGTTCACCGCCACTTGAATTTGGATTGTCACATAGGCCGGAGGCAACTAAAAGGCGTCAGATACTACAATCAAAAGGCCCGCTGCAACGGCAAGAAACATCTTGAGGACTCTGATTTAGCTCCGGACAAAGCAACTCCATCGGTGAAACTGGAAGTCTCCTCACGACACGAATTTTCGGACACGTGGCAGCAGTGTGGAGAAATGACGCCACTTCTCTAGTTGCGGCCCATTCGACGAGTTCCCAGCCACACATTAAAATTTGATGAAGTCGAAATTCTTGCGAGGGGTTTTTATCGTGTGAGTCGCGAATTAATTGAGTCAGGATTCACAGACCCCCAATCTATAAACAAGTGTAACGAGCTGCCCTATCCATATTCGGTGCTAAGGCTCAATTTGGCTTACATAAGTCGCCGCTTGGAGAACGCACAGAGGCAACGCCGGAGATCCAGATGGCCGAGCAATCAAAACGCCCAATTCAACCACGTATGATGAAATGTCAGCAGTTTACGGCCCGCATACCGGTCATCGACATATCATTGCACAAGCGGACAATTATTCTTGATAAGGGAGTCTTTAGTAGTCGTAAGTTTGAAGTAAAATAGTGACTGTATTGCCAGTACAAGCAAACACGCGAATCCTAGGAGGAAATTGCGAAGAGGATGCGCCCGACGGTCAAGATGTTTATTCACCTGACGTTTCGAGCTCGGTCGCGGATTCTTCATCAGAGTCCTCAGCAGAAAACAGTAGCAGAAGCGAGTAATAAATGTATAGCACTTACTACGCATGTTCTACACTTTTCTACTACTGCTTTCGGTTGATTCTTCTGAACCGCGACGAATTTCGAAACGTCAGGCGAACAAAAGCCTTGTCTCAGCGATCAAATCTTCTTCTCAGACAGGGTGATGCCGGTGATCAAAGGAGGCGGTACCTTAGCAGTGGAATCAACGGCTGTTATGTTGGTCGTTTTCGTGGATCCGTGATGTTTGGAATAGAGGTAATAATGGGAGTGTTTTTGCAATAAGAGGTTAGGTTTGATGGGTTGTTTACACACTAGACACAAAAATGCGCGACGAAACCGATT